CCGTGTTAACCAGGATGGTCTCGATCTCTTGACCTCGTGATCCACCCGCCTCGGCCTCCCAAAGTGCTGGGATTACAGGCGTGAGCCACCGCGCCCAGCCTAAGAAAATTCTTTATATGCCTTTCTAAATTAAAATTAGGTGATAACAAATCAAATTAACTCCTATTAAAGTTACAAATATGGTTGCCTAATTTTCTTTTTCTTTTATTTTTATTATACTTTAAGTTCTGAGGTACACGTGCAGAATGTGCAGGTTTGTTACATAGGTATACACGTACCATGGTGGTTTGCTGCACCCATCAACCCATATTTGCTTTTGCCAGATCCTCCAGAGAGAATGATGGTTTCCAGCTTCATCCATGTCCCTGCAAAGGACATGAACTCATCCTTTTTATGGCTGCATAGTATTCCATGGTGTATATGTGCCACATTTTCTTTATCTAGTCTATCATTGATGGGCATGTGGGTTGGTTCCAAGTCTTTGCTATTGTGAACAGTGCCACAATAAACATACGTGTGCATGTGCCTTTATAGTAGAATGATTTATACAGGTATTGATCGACTTACGACCTATGCAACTTACGACCACTCGACTTTACGACCACAATCGCTAGCCACGACTGCTCCACATCTGGCAGCGCAAACGTTGCCCAGCTGGGCGTACGACAGTGCGGACCAGCTTCCAGCAGCACTACCATCTCTGCGTGCATATAGCCTACTCAACTTACGACCAAATTGTGTTACGACTGATCTGTCGGAACCAATTGTGGTTGTAAGTCGAGCACTAGCTGTAATTCTTTGGGTATATACACAGTAATGGGATTGCTGGGTCAAATGGAATTTCTATTTCTAGATCCTTGAGGAATCACCACACTGTCTTCCACAATGGATGAACTAATGTACACTTCACCAACAGTGTAAAAGCTTTCCTATTTCTCCACATGCTCTCCAGCATCTGTTGTTTCCTCACTTTTTAATGATCACCATTCTAACTGGTGTGAGATGGTATCTCCTTGTGGTTTTGATTTTCATTTCTCTTCTTTTTCTTTTTCTTTTGTTTTTACTCCATCTTGCTTCTAATGATTTGCATTTCTCTAATGATCAGTGATGATAAGCTTTTTTTTCGTATGTTTGTTGGCCACTGCTGTTATACTCTTTGTGTAGAAATACAGGACAAGCTTACCGAATGTTTTCTTAAACACAAATTAATCTTCCAGACATCACCTTTTGTTGAAATTCAAGAATTATGAATGGACCTTACCATATCGATATTTTCTTACTGAGCTCCTCTCTACCCTGAATGCAAGAGACTCTAATAGGCAGGAATATCATTGCTCCTATTCAGTCTGAAGAAGTTACAGAAGATGCATCTTCATCCCTCTGCAACTCTCAGGATTAAGGGTTCTCTTATAAGAGGGAGGGGGGAAATGTCAGAGGCGTGTGAACCAGAGCAACCCCATCTTAAATAGGAGCTGGGTAAAATGAGGCTGAAATCTACTGGGCTGCATTCCCAGACGGTTAAGGCATTCTAAGTCACAGGATGAGATAGGAGGTTGGCACAAAATACAGGCCATAAAGACCCTGCTGATAAAACAGGTTGCAGTAAAGAAGCCGGCGAAAACCCACCAAAACCAAAATGGCAACGAGAGTGACCTCTGGTTGTCCTCACTGCTACACTCCCACCAGCGCCCTGACAGTTTGCAAATGCCATGGCAAAGTCAGGAAGTTACCCTATGTGATCTAAACAGGGGAGGCATGAATAAGCCATCCCTTGTTTAGCACATCATCAAGAGATAACCATAAATATGGGCAACCAGGAGCCCTTGGGGCTGCTCTATGGAATAGCCATTCTTTTATTCCTTTACTTTTTCTTTTTGAGACGGAGTTTCACTCTTATTGCCCAGGCTAGAGTGTAATGGCACCATCTCAGCTCACTGCAACCTCCCCCTCCCGGGTTCAAGCAATTTCCCTGCCTCAGCCTCCCGAGTAGCTGGGATTACAGGTGCCCACCATGGCACTGGGCTAATTTTTTGTGTTTTTAGTAGAGACAGGGTTTCACCATGTTGGCCAGGCTGGTCTCGAACTCCTGACCTCAGGTGATCCACCCGACTCAGCCTCCCAAAGTCCTGGGATTACAGGTGTGAGCCACCGCACCTGGCCTGTTTTACTTTCTTAATAAACTTGCTTTCACTTTGCACTGTGGATTCACCCTGAATTCTTTTTTTTTTTTTTTTTGAGACGGAGTTTCGCTCATGTTACCCAGGCTGGAGTGCAATGGCGCGATCTCGGCTCACGGCAACCTCCGCCTCCTGGGTTCAGGCAATTCTCCTGCCTCAGCCTCCTGAGTAGCTGGGATTACAGGCATGCGCCACCACACCCAGCTAATTTTTGTATTTTTAGTAGAGACGGGGTTTCGCCATGTTGGCCAGGCTGGTCTGCAATGGCGCAACTCGGCTCACCGCAACCTCCACCTCCTGGGTTCAGGCAATTCTGCCTCAGCCTCCTGAGTAGCTGGGATTACAGGCATGCACCACCATGCCCAGCTAATTTTTTGTATTTTTAGTAGAGACGGGGTTTCACCATGTTGACCAGGATGGTCTCGATCTCTTGACCTCGTGATCCACCCGCCTCGGCCTCCCAAAGTGCTGGGATTACAGGCGTGAGCCACCGCGCCCGGCCTATTTTTTTTTTTTTTTGAGACGGAGTTTCGCTCATGTTACCCAGGCTGGAGTGCAATGGCGCGATCTCGGCTCACCGCAACCTCCACCTCCTGGGTTCAGGCAATTCTGCCTCAGCCTCCTGAGTAGCTGGGATTACAGGCATGCACCACCACGCCCAGCTAATGTTTTGTATTTTTAGTAGAGACGGGGTTTCACCGTGTTGACCAGAATGGTCTCGATCTCTTGACCTCGTGATCCACCCGCCTCGGCCTCCCAAAGTGCTGGGATTACAGGCTTGAGCCACCGCGCCCGGCCCAGGAAGGCTATTTTTTTAGTCTCTTTCCCTGAGGCCGTAACTTTGAGAGCCTCCTCATCTCAAGTGGGTCAAAGAGCTCTCTCCTATTCCTTTTGTGTTAAGACTCAGTCCCCTGTTACTCATATTTCTTGATCTGGGTGATGATTACACTGATGCATTCTTCACTTTGTGACAATCCTTCAATCTGTATATTTAGAGTGCCTTTCTTTATGTGTAGATTACACTTCAATTAAAAAGTACATAAAATCGAAAATCATTTTAAATCCTCAACAATGTATCATCAGTTCAACCTAAATTGATCTACAGATTTAATGGAACTGCTTTCAAATCACCAGCAAAGTATGTGTAGGCACAGAAAAGCTTGTATTAAAATTTATATGAAAGGGCACAGGTCCTAGAATAGCCAAACAAACAATCTTGAAAATGAAGAATAACGTGGGAGGAATCACTCTACATGATAAGAAGGATTCCTATATGGGTACAGTAAAAAAAAAAGTGTGGTATTGATAGAGGGATTGATACATAAGATTAACAGAACAGAATAGAGATTCCAGAAATGGACTCATGCAAGTATGGCCACCTGATTTTTGCCAAAGGCAATTCAATGGAGAAAAGATAGTTTTTTCCAACAACAAATGGTGTTGGTACATTTGGACATTTCAAAGGCAAAAAAAAAAAGATGAACTGAAGAACCTTGACCTAAAGCTCTTAAAATATACTAAAATTATCTCAAAATGGATCACAGACATAAATGTAAACATAAAATTATTAAACTTTTAGAAGATAACAACATAAATTTTTCATGACCTAGAGTTAGGCAAAGAATTCTTAAACAGGGAAATCCATAAAATAAATAAAATCAATAAATTAGAATTTATCAAAATTTAGAACTTTTGCTCCATGAAAGACACTGATAAGATAATGAAAAGAGAAGCTACACACTGGGAAAAAATATATGCAGATCACATATCGAACAGAGAATTTGTATCCTAAATAAATAAAAAGCTCTCAAAACTCAATTGTAAAAAATGACCCAATTAAAAACATCAAAAACTTAAACAGGCATTTCACGAGAGAGAGAGAGAGAGAGAGAGATGGCAAATAAGCACAAGTAGAAGTATTATGTGGAAGTCATGTGGCTTATGTGAAATGACCTCACTCCCGATTCCAGAGGGTCTTTTTTTCACAATGATTGCACCATATAATCCAGGCCTACATCAGTCAGTAGAAAGCATTCCTGGGCCACAGGGATTGAGTCAGGGATAGTTCAACTGGAATAGAACTCAGGCCCTTTGAAAAATGATTGTGGAAAGTGACCATATCCCTATTTGTGGCAGGCAGCCATCTTGTGACCATGAAGAAGTATCCTGAAGACAAACCTAACACGCACAAAATAGGGCGGCACTGATATCATCAGGACCACAGCTCTGATCAAACTGTGCCTAAAACTCACATACCTCTAGACTTAGCAGTTACATGAGGCAATGTCCTACGCTTGACCTGCATTTTCTGTTTTCTGCAACTGAAACATCTTTATGTCTACCACACTTAACAGTCAACATCCTTCAACACGTTACCTCCAGGAAACTTTTCATGGCTGGCAAATGCTCTCCTCTCTTCCTTTGAGCTCCTCCGGTCCCAAGAGTGAGTCACTTACCATCATTTTTCTCTCTCAGACATACACACACACCACACCCCTGTGGCACTTTTGTGGTGTTTTCTCTTAACTTTCCACCCTTCCCTTGGTTATAGCCCTGACCCTGGCATTTATTACACTGAATTGTGACTTGTCAGTGCCTGTCTCCTCCTCCCCTGAAGACAGTTCCTGAGGGCCTGACAGTCCGTTGACTCAGACAGTCCTAGGTTGCCTCCACCTGGAATGTCTATTTTCACACATTCCAAATCCTACCCTTTCAAACTCAACGCCAACTCTGGAAGGAGGAAAGGCTGTGACCGACCGAGAAAGGATGTGGGAACTTTCTGGGATTACGGTAATGTTTTGTATCTTGATAGGGATGTGGGTTACACAGGTCTGTACACTTGTCAAAACGTGAAATTATACTCTTAAGATGTGTGCCTTTATTTCATCTTTTACCTTAAAAAAGATTCAAATAGTGAACTCTAGTAAATGACATGCATGCTGAAATGTTTAAAGGAATGTGTACACATGTCCATAATTTTGAAATGCATAAAGAGCTGATACATGGGTAGGCATATGTAATAAAGCCAAGTGTAGTAAAATACTAATTGTAGAATCTGGGTGGTGGATATATGGCTGTTTACAGTACAATTACTTTGACTTTCTGAATGTTTGAAAATGTTCATCACAAAATGTTAGGGAAAAAAGGGAGGACTGTGGGTCAACATCTCTGGTAACTTCACAGTCACAGACTTGGTTTAGACCTCATTACATCTTTTTATTTTTGAAGACAGAGTCTTACTCTGTTGCCCAAGCTGGAGTGCAGTGGAGCAATTTCAGCTCACTGCAACATCCGCCTCCCGGGTTCAAGCGATTCTCCTGCCTCAGCCTCCGGAGTAGCTGGGACTACAGGTGCACGCCACCAGGCCCGGCTAATTTTTTGTATTTTAGTAGAGATGGGGGTTTCACCATGTTGCCCAGGCTCATCTCAAACTCCTGAGCTCAGGCAATCTGCCCACCTCGGCCTCCCAAAGTGTTGTGATTACAGGTATGAGCCACCACACCCGGCCAACCTCATTATATCTTAACTGGAATCTTGCAATCAGCTTCACACTGGCCTCCACGTTAGCCCACTGCAGTCTCTCCTCACCCCAAGGATCACCAGAGAGAACCTTCCAAAACATTGCAGCCTCCGTGATTCAGTCCCTGCCAACCTCTTCAGCTTCATCCCTGACACTTGCCACCTTACTGCAGCCTGTACTCCAGCTCAACCCAGGGCTTGTAGCTCCACTCACACACCAGGTTACTTTATGACTTTCTACGTTTGCTCATGCTGTTCCTTTTGCTTGGAATGCTTTATTCCAACTCATCCTCTGCCCTCTTTGCCTGGTGAATGCTCTTCAAACTTAATCCAGGCATTACTTCTTACCAGAAGCATTTCCTGCCACTCAAACTGGGTTGGGTCTCCTTCTTTCGTGCTCCCATAGCACCTCAAACTTATTTGTAATATAGTATTTATCCTACAACGATGCATGGGGGTTTCCAAGTCTCTATACTAAATTAGATGCTCCTTGAAGATGAAGCTCTCCAATGGCATGCACAGGGTCTAAGAGGCTTTGATAAACGACTGTAGAACTGAACAATTGATGTTGAACTGGCATGGGTGATACTCTGGCACCTTCCAACAATTTTGTGTCATAGATTTGGTTGTATCTCCACTAGAGTTTAAGGCCCACCACCCCTATTGACTCAGCCATCTCCCTATGTCTCTCAACCACCACCTCTCTCATGAAGCCAACTCAATTTCTTGAGTTGGGATTTCTTGAGTCGGGATAAAGTAAGGTCTCTTGACAGTTTCTTGCCCCAGTCTGGAATACTGCCCCCAATTCCTCAAAGGTTTACTTTCTCTGTACTTCTTTGAGATTCTAGGCCTTGTTAAACTACATTTGATGATCACCTGAGTGCAGTCATTGAAGTACATATATATAATTACATATATTATGAATATATGTATATATATATATACACACACATATTTTAGTTCAAAGCCAGACAGAACTAAGAATTTTCTTTAAAGGCACTAGCTAAGCCAGGCACAGTGGCTCATGCTTGTAATCCCAGCACTTTGGGAGGCCGAGGCCAGTGGATCACAAGGTCAGGAGTTCGAGACCAGCCTGGCCAAGATGGTGAAACCCCCATCCCTACTAAAAACACAAAAATTAGCTGCGCTTGGTGGCAGGCACCTGTAATCCTAGTTACTTGGGAGGCTGAGGCAGAATCACTTGAAGCCGGGAGGCGGAGGTTGCAGCGAGCCAAGATTACACCACTGCACTCTAGCCTATGTGACAGAGCAAGACTCCGTCTCATAAATAAATAAATAATAAAAAATAAAAGCACTAATATAATTCCTCCCAAGAATCCTGTGCAGTAGGGATCATATCTTCATTTCATAGATGACAAAACTGAGGCAAGGAAATATGAAGCAACCAGTTTAAGATCACATAGGAAGCAGAGCTGGAATGGAATCACTGGTCTTCTCACCTCCCAGGCACATCCTCTTTCCACCGCAGCCCATTGTCTCCAGGTTGGGCCAGGTTCTGGAAAGCCTTCAGAGCCAGAGGGTATAACTAGCAGTTGGAAATCATCAAGTGTTCTTAAGCAGGAGGGGATGATGAAAACAGAACTTTGGGGAGATACTCCTGAAAGGTTGTATATGACAGAATAGTGTGAGGGAGGCTACTGGACTCCTGACAAGGAGAACATAAAATGGGTACTTAACTCTCATTACAGTCATAGGTGAGTGCTGGCCTTACAACGGGGTCCCATGGAAAAGGAGAGGGCATGAGAAAGTTAACTATTTTGAGAGTTAAAAAGCTGAAGAGGATACAGGAGTCCATCTTGTCTCTTGGGTTGAGTGGCTGACATCATGGTCTGCCTCCTGGAAATGGCCTGAGATTTCTGCCTTTTATGGGATGTAGCAGTCCAGGAAAAGGTCAACGTTGACTGGACAGTTGGATGAAGGCTTCCTTAGGAAAGTGGCATTCGATGGGACACTAGATGAGATGGTGCCCTCCCCATCCCTCCTTCTGCAGCTTCCTCACTAGCCTCCCTGGCTTCAGTCTCTTCCCCTCTTCACTCACCTCCAAATTGATCCTTTTTAAAAGTTAGATCATGTAATTTTCTGCTTAAAACCCTTTAAAGATTATTTGCCATTCTTGGGATAAAGTAAGGTCTTTTGACAAACATCAAATTTACATATCCTCCATAATCTAGAATTTTAAAGTATTATGCCTAAAAACTAACAATTATGATCATATGCCTTCTTAAACTACATATTCCCTCTTGGGGATTGTGCTGACATCCACCCAAGGTGAGTCCCAGCAGCAGTTTATGATATTGTTGGCCTTTATCTATACACATACACTCCAACGTGTTTTTACTCATGCTATTGGCTTCATCTAGGATTAATCTCCCATTGTTCTTAGCCAGACCAACTAATTGCCTTTCGTCTTTCAGCTCAGGCATCACCCAGTTGCAAGGCATCCCCAATATTCTTGCTTCTCTAGGATGGATTCCCTACCCATCTCTTATCAG